GAAATTAAAAAAAAACGGTGGCACTGTGGGGTCGAGGCACAGTATAGACAAGGCATAGATGGGACAAGTATAGATGATATATGACAGTGATTAAAATCACTATCATAAGAATCGCTTCGATGCAAATCTGTAGATAGTGTTTCATTTAGAGAAATTCGTGGATTATTCCAAAAGCAACATCAACTCTATTTCTTTGATTATATCCTAATTAGTAGTTCTTTGATTTTAAAATATAATATATGAATAAATACTAATTATAATTATTAAATTTAGTATGAAATTGATATTCAATAATTTAATATTATAGTTTAAACGGAGAAATTATAAAAATAATAAAGAAGTTGTATTTTGCTTTATTTTTACGTGTATAAAAATTTAAAGAGCTTGATACAATAAATTTCAATAAAAACTGTTTGTTACTATAAATAAATGCACTGAACTACAAGGAACTTTCATCAGTAACAAAAATATACCATTCTAAATTAACTTTTTGCGATGTTTAAAATCTGCAATTAGACTTTTTCTATCACTTCTAAGTTTTAATATTATTAAAAATTAGTATTTACATATAAAAATCGCATCGAAGCTAAAAAATTGGCTATTTAAGCAAACACAAATTTAAAAATTACTTTTTTGACTTTAAAAAAGTAAAAAAAAATTAATAAGTTTAATTTCTTATGTCTTATGAACTTTATTTTATTTAACTTTGTTAAATATAATAAAATAAATATTAAAATTATTTTCCATTAACTTTACAACTGTATTTTTTTTTATTACTAACATTTATCAAAAAATATTACAAAATTTATGACATTTTATAAATCATACAATTTGGTTTGTATACATTTTTTATTAATTTTAATTGGCTTATTCTATAGCAACAACTGAAAAATTTATATTCTTGTTAAAATTTAAAATTAACTCCATTTAATTAACATAATAAATATTTGACAGAGTTAATAGCATACTTTCATNTTATTCTATAGCAACAACTGAAAAATATATATCTTTGTTAAAATTTAAAATTAACTCCATTTAATTAATATAATAAATATTTGACAGAGTTAATAGCATACTTTCATCAAATTTGGATGGAATTTTGCGGAAATTAATTTAATTTAATTTATTTTATACCACTTTAAATTTTAATGATTCAGTTTATTTAGTAGATAGTACTAATAATATAACTTTTCAAGTATTAATTGATATGTTGTTTGCCATGAATTAATTTCATTACACCTACTAAAAATGAAAATATGTAATTTTTAAAAGATTCTTTATAAAGAAAACCCTTGTGGTTTTAAAATAGATGTACAATCTACTTTCACTTTTGAAATTCAATTATTTTAATATTGAATAAAAACTTACTAAAGGTTTAAATAAATTAGGCTTATTCTCTACGAAAACATTCTAAAACATAATGTTTACGAGATGAACGCAAAAACATGACAAACATTGACAACAAACATTGTTTTTTGTAAAAAAAACAATATTTTTTAAGATTTATTAAAAGTTAAAATTATTTTTTATTTTAATAATATTGCTAATTCGTTAACTTTCTAAAGCAAAACTTAGTGTAAAAAACTATATAAGTAAAATATTTGAAAAATTCCCTTAAATTTATTAGAATTCATATTACCTTGAAGAAAAATAAATAAATATTTTTTGCTAGGTGTTTATTATATTAAAATAAGATATAATAAATTGAATATTTTCTAATTTGAAAAGCTTGTTTTATTCAAAGTTTAGATTAGTACTACATAATTTAAAGCCTCGATCAAACTGCATGTTTGTTGTAAAATAAATAATTAATAAATCAAAAATTTTTTTTTTACTTAGTTGTTATTTTAGAACACTTTTTTGGCTCCTTAAAAAAGTGATGTTGGCCAAAAAGAATACTTTTTTATTTTTTTGCTGGCCACTATATGACAAAATTTTTCATATAAAAGGAGTGGAACACTTTTAGAATGTAACCTATTTTAGATTAAATATATACGTGAAAATTTTTCGTTATTCTAACTTCATATTAAGTGCTTAAATTTATTTTAATTAAATACATCATGAACTTCGCTTGCTACCAGTATGCAGCCAAAGGACATATGGAAAATTTACCATCTCGTATTTTGGTGTGGCATTTATTTCATTATAGAAAATGACTTCATCAGGACAATGGCAATTTATTGTGCTGTTGTCATAACACTGTTGGAACTTATTGATCACCGTACACTTTTTGAGAAAACGGAAACAAAAGTCATAAAAATTAATGAACTGAACGCTGAAGATGATAAACTACCACTGCCATGTTCTCCGCATTCAACTGTCCCTCCAACAAATATTCCCTGTGTATTTTCTTCGTCAAAACAATACGGGCATTTTTTTCAGCCATTAATAAGTGCTGNCGGGCATTTTTTCCAGCCATTAATAAGTGCTGAATGCTCGTACAATTTAAAAGTGGGCGAAAAACATTCGTTTGAATGCAAAATCGTTAGCTCTCAAAACTACCTTAAAAAATCAAAAGTACGTTTTCATATGAATAGTAAAAATAATGTATTTGTAGTTGACGAAGAATTATGGATTTCAAGTCCAAAAATGACCAACGCCATAAAAGGAATTGTTACGAACTTCGACCAGTTCATGAGCGTTGTTGATGTAGAAGTAAATTTTTCAATCGACTTGCCAATTGGGACACCGGCAACTTTAAAAAAGTCATTTGATAAAACCCCTTACACTCGAATGGAAGCCGCACTTGCTACTTTTTCTTACAAGTAAGAATATGTTTCACCTAAAGTAAGAGTAATGTTGCTCGGACATCAACAACAACATTCACCAGAACGTGATGAAAATCTGACAGATAACAGCCTATTAGCTCCCAATTTACCTGATTTGAATGAGTCACAGCTGTCTGCTGTGAGCCATGCCCTACGCATGCCAGTTTCTCTAATCCAAGGGCCTCCCGGTACTAGAAAAACGGTTACTTGTGCCAATATTGTATACAATCTGTCCAAGTCCGGAACCGTATTAGTTTGTGCACCGTCGAACAACGCTGTTGATAACTTGGCAAATGCCGTGGCTAAAACAGGCATCGATGTCGTGAGACTTGTGAAAAAAACGATAGAGACGGTTAAAAGTGATCTTTCAAATATATATCTTAGTGAACAAATTAAAAAGCTTGCTGGTCATTCAGAATTTAAAACTCTTCAAGGGCAGATTGATTAAGGTTTCGAGTTGAGCCCAAAAGAGAGAAGGGACTACAAATATCTGAGAAGAAAGGCTGAAATCGACTGTCGAGTGGTGTGCACAACTTGCTCCGGCGCCGGCGACAACCGTTTAGAAAAAATCAATTTTTCTTCGGTGGTCGTAGATGAATGCGCTCAAGGCTTAGAACCGGAATGCATCATTCCAATCACCCACGGAGCCAAAAAAGTGGTGTTAATAGGTGACTACTGTCAGTTGGGGCAGTAGCATATAAAGGGACCTTCTGGGACACCCCTATTAACCCATGGGGTGGTTGGGGGCGTGGTCTACCTAGGGTATAACAATTGATGAGTTGTGATAAGCCACACCCACGATGGGGGTTGTTAAAACAAAATGGTGACCTTTCATTGTCTCCTATACTTGGGGGTGAAATGTAGATCTGTGATTGGTTGATAAGCCACACCCTCTGCGAGGGATGTTAAAAAAACAAAATGTTGACCTTTCATTGGTGTATGACACCTATACTTGGGGTTAAATGGAGAGTTGTGATAGGTTGATAAGCCACACCCCTCGTGAAGGGGGTTAAACAAAATGGGGCCCATTGATACAATGCAATGGAGTCCTTTTAGTGGTGGGGTTATATAAAAATACACTGATATAGTATATTGTGCAAGGGGAGTGTGTTAAAGAAATGCATAGTGTTCATATTGTAAGTATGTATTAATATTTGTAAGTAACATAACAGCACAGACCTGCCCATTCACAGGCTATTGACATCCTAAATACTGCATGGTAGTATTTAGGATGTCAATAGGCTGTGATTGGGAAGGTCTGTGCTATTAGGACAATTACAGTTGCTATTTAAAAAAACATTTGTATTTGTACATGCCAACCCCCGTACAAAATTATTGTGTTATTTACTAATTTTCATTGATGGTATATCATCGATTGTAAATGGTGCATAACAAGAGTGATCGTTTAGCACGAGACAGAAAATATTATTGCAACACAAGCAGCTGTACGGATTCAGGACGATATTCCATGCCACGGATAGATGTGACAACCAACTCGTATAAGGGTGAGATTATTTGTGTGATCGTTTTTATTAATATTGTTTCGTGTCGATGTACGTGTCTAAACATGTCGATATAGTAATTGTGATTTAATGAATATAACCAATAATTGTGTGGAGTGTTACAAAAAATCATAAATACTATTGTAGCAAAAGCAGCTGTCCATTACGCTCACTGTTTCTAAAGTATGCGCCAATGAATGAGGGGGAGCGCGTGAGGGTTGCTCAATAAAAATTCTTTTATTGTTATTATTTATTAATAGGGGTCAATTATGTTGTGATTTTGCGTTAGTATTTATTAGATGGATCGTAACCAATAAAATAACAATATTGTCATCATTAGCGTTTATATTGTTACTATGGTGGTTTTTCGCATTACTTCGTATCCTTTTAGAATTTATTGCATAAAAGGGAGAATGTATCAATGTGTTTTTGGTTATACTTATTGAATGTAACCAGGTGATATATTATTATGAGAAGGAGTATTTATTTACAGATTCAAACGAATTAAATTACTGCATTATTATTCGACAATACATGTATAGGTGGAGTCCGTTTGACCCAATAAAATCAAACATAAAAGTTAACAAAATGATACACATCGAGTTGTGTAGTATCTAAACGTTTCAGCTAGTCAGTTGTGTTTTTTCTATTGATCGAGTATAAAGTGATTTTAAATGATCGTATTTGTTTAAAATTTTCGTATATAAAAGAAAAATGGATTTATTGAAACAGAAACTTAATCGCAAAAATAACGATGTTTTCTTATTCAAATCAAAGCATGGAGGTCCAGATATTCAGTTGACATCAGTTCCACCATGGATTAATTTATCTGGACATTCATGGAAACGAAAGTATGAAGACTCTACGTGTATTATTGAAAAACTTTGTGGCTCTGGAATTGATCACTCTGGTAATAATAGATTTCTTCTTGATCACACAATTTTCTCGGGTAAAGTAAAGACTTTTAAACGGGATAATGATACGGACATAAATAATTTAATGGAATTTTTCACCTACATTAATGATGAATTAGTTGAAAAAATTAAAGAAGAAAGCATAAATGGTTTAATTAAATTTAATTTAGTGGTTGAATGTTTATACATCCATCCAGTTAGGGGTGATACTAAAATAGCATCTTTTAAATCGACAAGTAAAAAGGTGGATAGTTGTACTGATATAGTTTCAAAGTTAAAAAAAATTTACCAAAAGCTAGAGACTGAACGCCAGGAAATGGAAATGAAAGGTAGTGGTTGGACCCTAGTTTTCATTTATAATATTGTCGTGCGCATACACAGACACAATCCTATACACGCTTCATCACATATCAAACTCCCAAAATGCATTGAACTTAAAAAAGCAGTTATAAATGTTGTAAATAAAGATAATAAATGCTTTAAATGGGCTATTCTTTCAAAATTTATGTCTGGTGTACACAAGGAGAGATGGTCTGATAGGTATGTACAACTAGAGAAAAATATCAATCTTAACTTTAACGGTATTGACTATCCTACACCTTTAAATCAAGTTTGGAAATTTGAAAAAAATAATCCAACATTATCTGTAAATGTATTTGCTTTAGATGAAAAAAATAACGTTTACCCTCTGCAACTAACTAAAAGCAGGTGCAAAAACGATCACATTGATTTACTTTATTTGACCGAACACAACAACAGTCATTATTGTTATATATCTAATTTTTCTCGGCTTGTGGGTAGACAACGGAGTAAGTCACATTTTCAAGAACTCTACTGTAAACGATGTTTAAAAGTCTTTACTAATAGAAAACTACTAACACAACCTTGGGGTAATGATGGACTTGCCAAACACTTGGAGAACTGTAGCAAATTTAAGGCTACCAAAGCTGTATTGCCGCATCCCAATAGTGACCAAGCCATATTGAAATTCAGAAACATTCGACGGCAAGAACCTGTTCCACTCATTATATACGCTGATTTTGAATGCATTCTAAAACCATCCAATAACAAAATATCTTGCAATTCATATGTCAAACATGAACATGAAGCAATGAGCTACTGTTTTGTTGTCATAGCTGATGAAAGTATATTGCCTCGGAATATATGCGCAGAGATTCCAACCGAACCCGTTTTATTCCGTGGACCTAATGCTGCGAAACATTTTGTATCATCATTGGTGAATATCAGTAGAAAAATATCAGAATTAATGAAAGTCAACATTAAAATGGAAACTCTTAGCGCAGAAAATATGCAACGTTTTGAATCAGCTGTGAGGTGCGAGTCGTGTAATCAACCATTTGATGAAATCTGTAAAAAAGTTAGGGACCATAATCACTGGACTGGTATGTTTAGAGCTGTACTTTGCAATAAATGCAATTTACAGCTACGATATCCAACGTTCCTACCAATTGTATTCCACGGATTATCGAATTATGATTCTCACTTTATAATACAAGAGTTAGCATACGATAAGGAAGATATCAGTATTATACCACAGAGTTCTGAAAAATACATATCGTTCAGCAAAAATATAACTAATCAATTTCAACTTCGGTTTATAGACTCGTACAGATTTTTAGCTGCTAGTTTAGCTAAATTGAGCGACACTTTATCTCCAGAAGATTTCATCGAAACAAATAAAGTCTTTGGCTCGCTGGATTTGGTAACAAGAAAATCAGTGTTTCCCTACGAATACGTTGACTGCCAGAGCAAATTGGATGAAACGCTACTACCAGCAATCGATAAGTTTTATAGCTCTTTGACAAACTCATCGATAACAGAAGAAGATTATGCTCATGCAGAAAATGTATGGAAAAAATTTCAATGTACAACTTTGGGTGACTACAGCGACGTTTATTTGAAAATTGATTGCATGATACTCACCGATGTATTTCAAAGATTCCGTAGGCAATGCTTAATAAATTATAAACTGGATCCTGCACACTACTACTCATGTCCTGGACTATCATTTGATGCCATGTTGAAATATACAGAGATAGAGCTAGAACTACTAACTGATTATGACATGTTGTTAATGTTTGAGCTTGGAATTCGTGGTGGACTTACTCAAGTCATGCAGAGGCATTGTCGTGCTAATCATCCAGATGTTCCGGACTACGATTCGACCCAACCGAAAAAGTTTATACAATACTTAGATGCTACGAGCTTATATGGCACAGGTCAGTATATAATCTATACAATCGATATAACAAATCAAAAAATTTATATTTTTTATATGTATATTTTATTACAGCAATGATGGAACCCATGCCATATGGAGGATTTAAATGGATTGATAAACCTATAGAGGATATCTTGACTGTACCAGATGATAATGAATTCGGATACATTGTGGAGGTTGATGTAGATTATCCAGACTACATCCATGATACTCATAACGATTTACCTTTCTTGCCAGTCAACGATTGCACCCCATTTTCTAAATATCCTAAATTAATGACTACTTTGAATTCAAAGTCAAAATACATTGTTCACTATCGGGCATTGCGACAAGCTGTGAAATATGGGCTTACGGTGAAAAAAATGTACAGAGCCATCGAGTTCAAACAGTCGATGTGGTTGAAACCGTACATTGATATGAATATTGAATTGAGAAAAAAAGCTACAAACGTGTTTGAACAAAATTTGTCGAAAGATATGATTAACTCGTGTTATGGTAAGTGTATCGGGTTTTTCGAATTATTTAATTAAAACTAATAAATATGTGTATTTTTAGGTAAAACGTTAGAAAATGTTCGTCGACAACAAAATATAAAATTGGTAAGCTGTGAGAAAAAACTGATGAAGCTTGTTGCAAAGCCCAATTTCGATACCACCACTGTATTTAACGACAAATTAGTTGCAGTGCATATGTTTAAAGAAAAAATCAACTTTTTTAAACCAATATACATAGGGCAAGCCGTATTAGATGTGAGCAAATGGATTATGTATAACTTCCATTACGGAGTTATGCTACCACTATACGGAGACAAGTTGTCGTTAATATACATGGACACTGACAGTTTTATATATGTAATTCAAACTGAAAACTTCCAAAACGATCTAAAGCAACATCTGCTCAAGTATCTCGACACATCCAATTATCCTAAAGACCATATGTGTTACACAGACGAACGTAAAAAAGTACCAGGTAGTTTCACCGATGAAGTTGGTGGTCTCCATATATACGAGATTGTTGCATTGTTACCGAAAACTTATGCCTTTACCGTCGTAAAAAATGGATGCATAGTAAGTGACAATGCAAAGTTTGCACTGGAGGAGGTCAAGCGACTAAAGGGAATAACATCGGGTGTGGTGCGTAAACAAATAAACATGGACAACTACTTTAAATATTTAAAGGACTCGCTATCGGAAAAGAAAAAGATGATGGTTATCAGATCAAATAATCATAAAGTTCAAACAATTGAAACCAATAAAACTGCTTTTACAAGCGTCACGAATTTTGATAAACGCGCTTTGGTTGGAGGAGATGAAGAATATCCCAATGTATACACTAAGGCTTGGGGTCATTATTCATTAAGAACAAATAACTAAATTGTAAATAAAAGTATATTTTATTTTTTCAAATTTTATGTGTTTTAACAATAATGTTATGTAATGTTTTTACAAAAACAACTAGTTTATAATTTTTATAAAATAAAATACAATAAAATTATGAATTTTGAGTTAACCAGTTTTTCAAACACAATACCTTATATAAACTACACATTTTGTAATTGTTCATGTGTCGAATGCAACAGGGGCTCGATCGTAATCGTAAATTATACAATGATGGACAGTCAAGATCTTCCATGTTAATCACATGCTGTCCCGGCAAAAACTTTTCCAGTACACGTTTTTTGATGACCCCCTTGACGTAGATAATTTCACATCTCAATAGTGACATAATTCTCGGTAATTCACTATATTCGACATCACCAATCGAAGTATCCATTCCATGATAGTACTTTTTCAGCCAATTACATGTTTTTCGATCATCTTTGACATTGGTG